TGGCCTCTGGGGCGGGGAGTGGGCGGGGCGGACATCCATAGGCGTGGCGTGATCCGGGGGCGTGGCGATGACCTATGGGGGCGGGACGAGGCCGAGTAAGGCCCCGCCCCTCACGCTGGCCCCGCCCCAGGGCGTCCTCTTCGGGTTAGGCTCGGGCTTCTTCCTGTCCCTCTGGGTGGCCTTGGGCGCCACGCTGTACCCGCCCAGCGAGCAGACCATGGGAGTCCTGCCGTCTTCGGCTGCAGGCTGTGTGGTTCCCTCCAGCAATGCTTCAGTCCTTCTGGACTCACTCCCCACTCTCAACAGCTCCGGGTAAGCAGGAAGTGTCGGGGTGGGGGTGGGGTCAAGAGGGGCCAGCGCAAGGGAGCTGGGGTCCTGGTGGACACAGCAGCTGCAAAGGCTCTGTGGCAAAAGCCGGCATCTGCTGTGAGCTGGGATGGGTGTGGCCGGATTGAGGTACCTTGCAACAAGCGGAACGTGATTCTTTTGTTGTTGTTGTTGTTGTCTTTTTTTGAGATAGGGTCTCGCTCTGCAGTTCAGGCTGGCCTTGAGCTCACTTTGTAGCCCAGGCTGGTCTCAAACTCACAGTGACCCTCCTGCCTCAGCCTCCCAAGTGCTGGGATTACAGGCGTGTGCCACCACGCCAGGCTTGTGATTCTTTTTTGTTCATATAATTCATATGCTGTAAAATTAACCATTGAAAAGGGGGGGGGAGTTGAAGGGGCAAGGGTGCAGCCCAGGGGCAGAGCACTTACCTGGCATGCAAGAAGACTTGAGTTCAATTCCCAGCACTGCAAGGCGAGGCGGGTGGGAGGTTGTGGTAAACTCAGGAGATTTCTGCAAAGATCTGCACTTTCTAGCACAAGAAATCCTCAGCACCCCGAAAGAAGCCTCACCCCGTTGGCAGCCACCTCCCATTTCTTGCTTCCTCCAGCCCCTGACAGTCATTCAAGGTTCACCCTGGTTACCGTGTACTCACTGCTTCACCAACTTGCTTGTTTGTTTATTTATTTATTTTGTCTTTTTGAGGCAGGATCTCAGCTATGATGCAGTTCAGGCTGGCCTTGAGCTCAGCCTGGTCTTCAACTCACAATGATCCTCCTGCCTCAGCCTCCCGAGTGCTGGGATTACAGGCGTGTGCCACTTTGCCCGGCCTCTTTCTTTTTTTCTCTCTTTCTCTCTTCCTTTCTTTCTTTCTTTTAAATCAATTACTGGAAACTTTTTAAATGTATATATTTAACTTTATGAGACAGAGTCTCACCGGGCCAGAGATTTAGCTCAGCGGCATAGCGCCTGCCTGGCAAGCATGAGGTTGTGAGCTCGATTCCTGGTACCAAAAAAAAAAAAAAAGAAAAAAGAAAAAGAAAAAGAAATGTAAAGAGACAGGATCTCACTATGTAGTCCAGGCTGGCCTCTAACTCTCGGCAATCCTCCTGCCTCAGCCTCCCAAATGCTGAGATGACAGACTCCGGCTCCAGCTCCACGGAGGACCTGGGGCGGCCCGCCCTGGCCGACAGCTTCTACGCCATCTCCTACCTGTACTACGGAGCCCTGGGCACGCTCACTACGGTGCTGTGCGGAGCCCTGGTCAGCTACCTGACCGGTGAGCCTCCTCCCCTCACTCTCCCTGGGCCCCTCCCACGGGGAGAGGGGAGCCGCACCCCCCGCCACCACCCGCTTTCACCCTCAGGACAGCCCTGCAGCTCGCACGGGGGAGCTCATCCCCCTCCCCCGCAGCAAGGGCCACCCAGTGCCCCCAAAGCCCGGGTCAGACGCATGCGGGGCGGGGCCGCGGTGCTGTCCGCGGTGCTGAAGTGGCTTTTCCTCCGGGAAGGTGGCCACTGCACGCTCCTCAGGAATTCCCAAGGCTGCCCGGAACCAGAAACACACATTGAGCCAGGCGTGGTGGTTCGTGCTTGTTATCTCAGCACTCTGGAGGCTGAGGCAGGAGGATCACTGCCAGCCTGGCCGACAGAGCGGAACTCTGTCTCAAAAAAAAAAGATAGAAAACAGACTTTAAATTCCTCAGGCTTTTACTCAACCCTCGTAGGTGCTGGGTACCATTCAAGTAATCAGGGAGTCATCCACCTAGCCATTGACCTGTTACAGCACTTCACTGTGCAGAGGGGGAAACTGAGGCTCAGAGAGCGGCAGAGGCTTGCCAGGGTTCTCCAGGACACGGCTGTGGGAGCCGCGATGAGAGCCCTCCCAGCCCCGCGGCCCCTCACCGTGCTCTTCTCTCTGTCGCCATCTCTGTCCCTGTCCCTCAGGACCCACCAGGCGCAGCGCCCTGGGCCCCGGGCTGCTGTGGTGGGACCTCGCACGGCAGACGGCATCGGTGGCCCCCAAGGAGGAAGTGGCCACCGTGGGTGATGGCCTGGTAAAGGTGAGTCTCGGCTGGGCCACCAAGCAAGGGACAGCAGGGTGGCTCGGGGCTGGATGTACCGGGGAGGGCTGTGATGGTGCCACCCTTCCTGCTCCAGGGGGACGCCTCAGATGGCAGCCGATCATCTCCTACAGAGTTATTTTGTTTGGTTTTTTTGAGGCAGGATCTCACTAGGCAGCCCAGGCTGGCCTCAAACTTGTGGCAATCCTCCTGCCTCAGCCTCCCAAGTATTAGGATGACACGTAGAGCACAGAACCAAGCCCGGGGCCTCTAACCTGTTTTTTACAATTTCCTCCAATCTATAGCCAGGAAACAGGTTTGCCCTTAGGGTATTGATCTAAAGTCTCTTCTGAAGATAAAATTACTGAACTCCAGAGTGTGCCAAGTTGGAGGAAATCTTACATAAGAAACCCCACAGGGCTGATGGCCCTTGGCCAGAGCCGTGTGACTGCTGAGTAATCACCTCGTCTGGGCCACGCTGTCACAGGGGGTCTGACCCCCCTCAGGGGGGACATGAAAGCAATGAAAATAAAGGAGGTGGTGCTCAGCGGGTGAGGAGTGGATCTATACCACCCAGGGTGCTCGGCCCAAGCAGTGTCAGCCAGAGCAGGGGGGCAGGGGGCGCTTAGTGGAGCAACAGGGAAGGACCGGACTGAGCAGGAGTTAGGCGGGCAGGGACATCTGGTGGAGGCAGCACAGTGGGTGCAAAGGCCCTGCGGCAGAGAGGTTTGGTCCAAGTCTTTAAAGCTGCTGCCAGCTGCTACAGAAAGTCTTCTCTTGTATTTTCCTTCTCCTTCTCCCCTCCTCCTCCTCCTTTCCTTTGCAGTGCTGGGAACTGAACCCGGTGCATGCTGGGCAATCTGTCTACCACTGAGATACATTCCTAGCCCTTTTTTTTTAGTTTTTAAAGGCGGCATCTCACTATGTTGCTAAATTGCCTGGGTTGGCTCAAAACTTGCAGTTCTCCACTCTCCCGGAGTGCTGGCGTTATAAGCATTGAGAAACCATGTCAGCCTCCAGCGTTTGTTTTTTTTTAAAGGTAGTCTCACTATGTAGTTCAGGCTGGGCTTGAACTCACTATATACCCCAGGCTTGCCTTGAACTCACCGCGATCCTCCTGCCTCAGCTTCCTGAAGACCAAGATGACACTCTTGCACTACCACACCTGGCTTCCAGTTCTTTTTTTAATGTCTTTATTTTGAACAGCGATTTACTGTGTTGCTCAGGTCAGCCTCTAACTTTCGATCCTCCTGACTCAGCCTCCTGTGCATCTGTGACGGATGTATCTATGTTACTGTGATGGATGTTGTGCCAGCTTCCTAGGTCCTCAGTATCCCCGTTTGGGACAGAACCTGGCACACAACAGAAATAGTGTCTCTGATGGGATCCTTTTATCTCTCCTCCCCCAGGGTCTGGAAGAAATTCCTGCAGGAGCCAAAAACACCCCCCACTTCCAGCCTACAGAGGAAGACGGCGTGCTCTTCCTGCAGAGCGAGGAGAAAGGGCCCGGGCCCTGGGCTCCTTGCAGCAGCAAAGGCCGCGACCTGGACCGGGAGACCAATCTCTGAGGGCAGGGCCAGCACCTGGGATGGACCGCTACACAGTCCAATCCCAGGCCACGGGCAGCGGTCTCACACTCCTATTGGCTGGACAGTATCCTATGCAAATAAGCTTGGGCAGGCATAGTCCCCGCCCGCCCGTGGAAGGGGTCGAGGCCCCGCCCCCTGGAAGTCACTGTGTAGCCCCTGGGTTGGGAGGGAGAGTCGCTCTGGTCGCCTCCAGCCTTTACTCCTCCTCCTGCTGTGGCTCCCATTGCCTTATGAGAACACCCACCGTGTGGCATTCCCCCGAATTCATTGGGAACCTCAGAAAGTGAGCTTGCTGGAAACAGGGTCTGAACAGCTGTCACTGGCCAGATTAAAATGAGGCTATACTGCAACAGATACTGCAGCAGAGCCACCCGAATCCAAACCCGGGGAGGAGGGCTAGAGTCCAGCTCAGCGAGGTGGGCTTGAGGCACGGGGTCTGTCCCATCCCTGCCGAACCAAAGTCAAAACAAAATGTGGCCCGGGCGTGGCACACACCTGTCATCTCAGCACTCGGGAGGCTGAGGCAGGAGGGTCGCGGCAAGTTGGAGGCCAGCCTGGACTACATAGCGAGGACGGAGGTAGAGGTCGAGTGACAGATCTAAAAGCCGGAAAATGCCAGGGGTTGCCAGGAGCCAGAAGGAGGCTGGGACTAGGTCTGCCTTTGAGCCCTTAGGAGCCATGACACTTCATGCCCTGACTTTGGACTTCCGATTCCTGAACTCCCAGAGAACTCTCTGTGTTGTTTTCTGCCAGCCAGCCAATGGCAGTTTGTTCTAGCAGCCACAAACACTCATACCCATCCCCTGACCTAGACCCTGCCACCCCTGAACATGTTGTTCTTTTTCCTAGCTGAGTAGTATTCCACTGGATGGGCTGTCCTGTGCCACTGATTCCCCCGGGTTGGACCTCTGTGTTGTTCCCAGCTCTCTGTGATCAGAAATAAAATTGTAATAGACATTCCTGTGTAAGTCTTTGCGTGAACATACAGAGGCCCCTCTTTTTGTATTGTCTTGTGTTTCTTTATGATGCTGGGGATAGAACCCAAGGAGTGCTGGGCTAAATCCCCCCCAACCCTTTTTATTTTAAATTGCCCAGACTGGACTCAAACTTGTGATCCTCCTGCCTCAGCCTTCCACAGTGCTGGGATGACAGGTGTGTGTCACCTCGCCCCACCCCGTATGTGTAACTCTTCAAAGCTTCAGAACAGAAGAAGAAGCCAGGCATGGTGGCGCACGCCTGTAATCCCAGCACTCAGGAGGCTGAGGCAGGAGGATCGTTGAGAGTTCAAGACCAGCCTGGACTACAAAGTGAGCCCAAGGCCAGCCTGGCGTGCAGAGCAAGATCTTGTCTCAAAAAAAAGACCAAAAAAAGAGCAGAAGAACATTTCCAAAGGGTCGTCATGTACCGAGCACTGGGCAGTTTCCAGCAGGAGAAGGTCCCTGCGGACTGAGCCGCAGATCGGCAGCATGCACTTTTTGGTGTGAGCAATACTTCTATCCACTTACAATTTTTAAGTAATAGTCTTTATTTTTCAAAGCAGTTTTATGTTTATGATAGAAAGGAAAGGAACTCCCAACCTGGTAGATACCTGGGATGAATTCAAGTTATCTAAAATCAAGGAATGAATTTAGGAACAACAAAGGTTAAGCGCAGAATATATTTACTGGGGGAAAGAAAGCTTCTGTCCGGAGCGCCAGCCTTCTGGCTGGCTAGCTTCCTGCCTGCTGGCTCCCGGAGGGAGGGTCCCCAGCACGTGGGGAGCCATGCGGTGGTGAGCGCTATTGCGCGCCGGCCCCTAGGCC